TATCATGCGATGTATGTACATCAAAACATTTATAGTACTCCCTCCGTGGAAACGATTATTTACTTTGAATTTTCATCTTTAGTTCAATTGTACAAAAATTAAAATTTCAAATTGAAAAATAATATTGAGACTGAGTAATTGTGGTACAATCATAAGAATATGATCAATTACCATTCTTTTAGACGTAATATCAATTTAGACTTCTCCAAGAAATTCCCTTCCAGAAGAGAACATACATAGTGCCAAACGGTATGCCAGATAATCACTATGCAGCTGGTTCATCGAAACTAGTAGCTTGTTTCTATGGGAAGTATACTACTCATCTTTAACCTGAATGTTAAAAACCATGCACGCGAATAACAAACGCCCGCAATGTATATGAGACTATCTATCTCTTGGCTGCTTCAAGCCAAATTTCACTGTTTAAATGTTAGCCTGACACTTCTAGGAGTCTTCATATTAAACTCCTGGCCTAGACGTCTTCCCGGCCAGCTAGGGCTCGTAACTCTTTTCGTTTGATTATATTTCCTCCTACTCGAAACAATTTTCATATTATCTTATCTTAACTCAACAAATAAAACAATTATTATGAGACAGATGGAGACTGACAAAACCGTGTCGGTTCATTCTTGCAGTCCCCACGCCAGCTCCACCCGCATTAACTCGTCTTCCCCGCCGCATCTTACAGCTGCGCTCGTGCGCTATCCTCCTGTCTTTTAGCCTTTATTATTATCAGTTTTGCGCAATGGCTATTAATTTTGATATTTGTAGATCAAATCGAATTCATGACGAAGCTAGCTAGGAAAGAGTTTCAAGTGAAGAACCACAAAGGAGTAAGAATAGATTCTCTCAACCGGTTTAAGTGCTTAAAAGTTTAAGAAAATGGATGTCTAAGTTATGAATAAATCACCATGTTTTCAAATCAAACATATGTGTCCACCCGCCAATGTACCCATAGCTCAACAAATAGATTAATCACCATTATTGTTAATTAATGGTGGACACCGCACTATATTGGAAAAGAGAATTACAATTTTGATATCCTTAATAACTGTTTTGTTGGGATGAAGTATCTCACATTGTCGTTTTGAAGGACTGTCACATTTTTATAAGTTTCTTGAACTACCCTAATTATTGTCAATTGATTTTTAAATATGAGGCCAAAAAATTATATACTTTGACATGTTCGACATAATTTGATTGACAACATATAGTGTTTATCACTCCTACAATTGTTATTCTTGTAAACTCTCTTCATTTTGAAATAATTGTTTAATTTGGTCTTTCACTTTTCGTACACTCAAATTGGACAGTCATTTTAAAATAAAAAAAATTATTTCATATAACTCAAACGAACACATACCACTCAAGCTAATCATCGTCCAAACAAGTGGAACCCTTCATATTCTTATTCTTTTAACCATAATGGAAAACCCTTAATACAACCATGTTTCTTGTATAGTTGTAATTGTAACTCTTTTTATGAATAGTGTGCGTTGAACATTTTGAATTTATTCTACTTATTTACAATGGAGTAGTAAATCGGTTAGGCAGATTTCTGACAAACCGTAGCCTATATATATATATGCTGCCAGGAAACTATTAATAAGAATAGGAACTAGAAAAATCAATAGTTGGTGAGCTACTCATATATTCTGGTGTTCTGATCATGTAGAGCAAATGAAAACGAGACAACAAAAAAACAAGACTAGCTGAAAACAGATCTGAGGTTGTCCAATGTGTTAGACCTTGGATCTTTTGCCAATTTGGTACCGATAAAGTTTACTCTGTTGTAAAATAGGAATCTGGTTTCAAACAATCAATTCAAAGATAAAAACATATTTTTTCTGTCAAGTTTGGATTTTTACTTTTATTTCAATTTATACTAAAATGAAAATTTAAATTGAATAATAATTTTAGGGCGAAGGGAATATTATAAAGGCACATAATAGTAAATAAATGTCTCCATTTTTGAACAAAACAATACATTAAGACAGTAAACTATATATTGAAATGCATGTGACCAAAAAATTAACTTATAACAATGATGCAAGGTAAATTATATGTTAACTTTTCATATATTTTTCATAATGTTGTACATGATCTTGCACCTCTTACCGTTTGGTTTTCTTGCCCTTTCCTGCGATAGCAACGCAACGCCACAAGCAACAATCAGTACGTACTTTAGACTTTAGCCACTATAAAAGGAATATTATTTGCTTAATTTCAGCAGGGAACAAATGCAGAATCAGCATTTGGTATAGAGATTTGTTAAAAGTATTGTGAATCAGATCACTTTAAAACTTTTCAATCAATCACATTAAAGTATTTTGTTTTTGGTAAACTGAAAAGGGAAAAGAGGTTGAGGTTGTATTTGCCAAAGCCGAACTTCAAACAAAATTCCTACGTCGATATTTTCCTCGGCTTATAAACGTTAACCGCTAAATCGACGCTCGGCATACAATCTTATTTTATTTTTTTACTTTCTCATTATGTATTTTAACAGTTTTATCTTTCCAATTTTTACCCTAGTTTTTTTTGGATATATATGTGTGTGTAATCAATATATATCCCATTAAAATAAAAGTCCAAGAGAATAAAAAAGATGAGGTGTCAAGCTGGGGTTAAAAATTTTCCCTCCAAAATACATCAAATCAAAACTATATCGTTTTTTTTTAAAAAAAAATACCACCCCTATGGACCTCACTTTAATGTGGGTAAAAAACCCTCTTTACAACCCTTAGTAGGAATCGAACCATAGTCTATTACCAGGAAAGACAGCAACCTAACCACTAAGCTGTCATTCAATTCTCTAAAAACTACATCGTTTTGATAAATAAAATTCAACTATATAAAACAAATTTCTATTACAAATCCATATAAAAATTAGTTCATTATACTGTTAGAAAGAAACATTTTAATTACGTATTGCATTCTAATTCAAAATTTTCTCGCAAAAAGAAGAAAAATATGTCGTCAATAGTAAAAAAAATTTGTTAAAATTTCACGGATAAAATTACGAAAAAGAATTAAACAAAACATTTTTCTTACATTCAAACAAAAAAAAAATGTTAAATTTCTTGAGTAAAATTACGAGCAAAAGTTCAAGTAACACATTCTTCTTATATTCAAACTCAATCATCCTAAATCCTAATACCAATCTAAATAAAAAATATATATTAAAATCCCACGGTAGAATTATGGAAAAAGTCCAAATAAAACTTTCTTCTTATATTCAAACTTAAAGAAATTTAGATTATAATAATTTTAATACCATTTAATTTTCAACCCGTCTTTTTTAAATTTATTTTTATTGGTTGGTTATTCTTTATATCATCTGTTTCCTTTTAGATTATAATTTACAGTCAACTATTAATTAATCCAGTACGTGAGACTTTTTCACAACTAATTATCGATTTAATAATGAATTTTAATATATTCCGTGCAGGGTACGGTCGAAAACGTAGTATATATTAAACACGGTGTATGACGTGTTTGAGTTGAACGTATATATTCTCTAACATCCTTCAACCGCTGTATCAAAAAAAAAAAAAAAAGAACATCTAGAATGTAGAATGAAAGGGCATTAAAAAAATTTAATAGCGTCTGGTTCGGACCTAGGACGGATCCCAAATCAATTAAAAGATAAAATTTTCCAATCATATGTGCATGGTTGTGTATCTATTACGTACCTGTCGAGTGTCGAGTGCAGACAGTTTGGATATCACGCACAGACCGCAATTTAGAGCCGAATAAATTATGAGCCTTGAAAATTTTTATTTTTTTTTCCCTCTAAAGATGAATAACCTTTGGGCGGGCACTCAAATATTTGGCAATTTGCTGGCACTATTAAAACCGACAAACTGCAGCCATACAAGCCCTGACAAATTGCTAGCGGGAAAAGAAATTAATACAAGAGTTATCAGTTTCCCATGATTGATAAAACTATAAATTTGATTTGATCAATTAAAATAACCTCTTAGATCAAACGAACATATATACGTTACCATCTCATCATGTCTGAACAATATCGTGCATATTTTATTTTAATTTTGAAAAAAATTCAAATATGATGTTACAACTTACATGCATTATATATAGCAGGGCCATGCATCTCTGCTGGCATGTGATTTGTACTGCCAAAGCCATCCAATGGTACGTACATTGAAGCTTTAGTTTTTCGCTAGTTCAATGCACCAAGATGATGGGCATTCTGTTCCATACTATGTCGATTGCACGTTTCACTATTCCTTGCGGCTCCATCATTTTATTTCGTTCTTTGGGTTCGAATCAGAGATGTTCCTGAAAATTCAGGCTCTAACAAAATAAATGTATTAATCTTTCGGGTCTAACATGAAAATGTCAATGATCGGCCAATCCATGCAAACCTTCCCTTTGGTTTTTGGCGTACATGGAATTGACAGATTTTTCTTCTTTGGATTGACATTATCCGTGATGTTGTGCGTGCAAAAATTTGTGGAAATCAATGTCTCGTGCAAACTATAGCTAATTAAGGTTAGACAACAAAATTATTACGATCCCTATCACTACCTTTTTTCCCCCCTCCAGTCTTCAACAAAAAAAAAAATCCTCCTCTTTCTATCCTTTGGGGAAAAAAGAATAGTCATATTCCGTAAACTTAAAAAGTCCACAAACAAGATTGATATTATCATTTTCTTGGCTGAAACATAATCATGGATGTATGTTCCAAACAAAAAGGGAGTACCATTGTAGCTATAAAAGATGATATCGACAGTGAAAATATTTAATGAATTCTCACTGTAAAATAATGCAACAATCACTCGGAGTGAGTGTTTCATATAAATTTCGCATCATTCACTCTCGAAATCTATTATGGCTGAATATATTTTCATATATAAATGATTTAAATTTACAAACAAAACCAAATCATGGGGGAACCAATTGCATGTTCAGTTACAAGTACAAATCAATATCTCTTTGGTCCCCCTTTAGCCCACCCAATTGAATTGGGAAGAAGATCAAACCTCATGAATCCATTCATCTATGTATCCGTTACACATATGTATCAAAACCCAATTGGTCCCCCTTTCAGCCCATCTAACTGAATAAGAGGGATCAAAGGCTTCTGTTACAAGTTAATATCACAACCCTTTTGGTCCTCCTTTAGCCCAACGATCTCTCCTTCTCTCTATATTAATGACAGGAAGATCAAACATATAATCACCATCATCCTCGTAACTTGCCTTCGATCACTTAAACTATTTGTTGTATTACCACCTAGCAAGATGAAATGGAAAACCTAAATAAATAACAGATATATTGATGGAGAAATAAAAATAAAATAAAAAATAGTCCACCCGTCCCCAAAACAAGAATCGTATTGATCACACTGATTATATTTTCTTTAGATGGTGAGAAGTCAAAATTACCAAAAGATAAATAAAAAAAATTCTACAAGACTACAACGAATATGAAAATTAATGGCATTTCTTCGGGTTTGATCTAAGTGTTTTTTTTTTCCTTCCAACACAATAAAATGTGGTTGTGTAAATTGTAATTACTAAATTTAGCGGTAAATTGTAATAATAAAGCGGTGAATAAAATGCTTGTCAACTTATCCGATAAATTACCATAGTTTGGTATTGCTGGTGGGCTAGCAGGTGAACCAAATGGCCCAATCCCATTACCTGGTTGTGCTGGAGGACTGTTTGGTGTTCCACCCGATGGCCCAGGCCCAAAGTATACTCCTTTACAATCAGCCCCTAAGAAACCTGTAAATGAAATGAGCTTAGTGACATGACAATTTTGATCAATACGTGTGTTTGGTTAGGAAAAATTTATCAACCCACTCAATTTCATAACAATCAATACTCCAGTTTTGATAATGTGCAATAATGTCAGGTTACTCTTGATCTTAGTATCTCTTCTTCTTAAAACACTTGCTACTTTCATCCTAATTGTTTTATATTTAAACAATTATTTAAGAGTAAAGAAGGTTTTATAACACGGAAATAGATAATCGTTTTATAATAAGTACAACGTGACGAAATTTTAAAACCTTACATTCACTGAGACAAGCTGCACCCGAGATATTGAGTACGTTAGCCGAACCTTCATTACATTTACAGTAGTATCCAAGTCCATTTAGGACGCAAGTTCCATCACCACACCAAACCAGGTTACAGGCTGCAATATTAATATAGTAAGGACTTTGTATATATGTCATGAGTTGTTTTAAGTTAATCTTCACGTGCATCATTGAATTTAATCAATTTCGTTATTCAGAGAAAAAAGTGAAGTGGATCATCGAGGTGACTTACGGCTGAGAAGGTTAAGAGGCGGAGGGTTGGCCGGAGGTACTGGCGGCGGCGGCGGTAATACTGCTGCTGGTGGTGCTCCCTTGCCACATTCGGACGAGTTGATTGTACCTACAAAGTTATTATGAGATGATCGTGCTTAACAATGCAGACAGGAAGATTCAAGAGTCGTTGTTTTTTTTACCGATTTTATCACAATCTCTAAATGATACAGATTTCACAATTTCAATCTTAAATACTCACACATCTTAAAATTATTGTCCACTTTACATTTTCGATTTTAGTATAATTTAAACTAAAAATAAAAAAGGTATAAATTAGACAATAATTTCGGGACAGAAACAATAACACTTTTTAAAATGAGACGAACGGACGGGAGAAATTTAACTCACAATTGGGAAGAGTACAGGCGGGTAAAACAAATATCTCCCATTGGGGTTTTGACCATCCAGGGTTACATATGCAATCGAACCCCAGAATTGAAGTAGTTGAATTTACACAGTGACCTTCTCCACAAAACACCTTTGAGCATGGACCCCCGTCATCTGCAGTTAAAAACAACGTCGTTGACCGTTGATGATCATACATAAATCAACATTAATTCATTCAAATTAATTCTCATTCTACAAACAACTGCAAGTAAAAAACTAAATTCCTTACCTTGCAGCCTTCTTTCTGCCAAGAAATCATGGGTACTAGCACTAGCACTAGCTGTGTTATTTCGCATGAAGAGTAATAATAGCAGAATGTGGAAAGAAATGAGATAATAAAGATTTATCCCCATTTTTCCCATTATCTTAGATCTTAATATAAGAACTTATTATTACTAAGGGTTCACATCCTCATCAGGTTATAAAGGCAAGATGGATGAATAAGAGGCTCTTTTTTTTTTTTTTTTCCTAATCAATGATGCCAAATATAGAACAAATGTAATTGGCTAGCATCTAATAAATAGGATCGGACCGAATGGAGAATTTAACAATAAATAAAAACAAAGAAAAATCACTATAGTATCGATGAAGACAGCCGAATACTACTTTGAGATTTTCAGCACTTTAATTTGTCGCTCCATCAGGCCCTTGTTTTGCACAACTTAAAAAACATTATTGATCCAAATGGAGTTTTGTATCATTTGTATAATGTAATGTACTTCTTGAAAATGATGTCGAATTAAAGTAATTAAGGAAAAAATATGAAATCTCTGTGATTCTTTCGTACTCACAGTTGAAACTAGAAATTAGGGAATGACGGGGATTTTGACAACAGAGAGCAAACGTGTTCTTGGACATGTGACGATTTCTAGTCATTCGATGACAGAAAAAACGAAGTAACGAACATATTAATTCACTTATTTTCTTTGTTTTGAAATATTATTTTGTTGTTTACTATATTATTTCCGACTATTGTTCGATTTAAAAATAGATTACAAAAGTTACTTTCTTTGTATTAAAAAAATTGTGCAAAATAAAAGACGCATACAAAATATTCACGAAATCATACAACTAAAATAGGGTTTTCTTAGAAAATAGGGGGAAAATAAAAACTCCTCTTTTACGTTTTTGTATTTTATTATACAAAAGTCCTATACCATGTGGATGGTAATAGAAAAGCTAGATAGTAAAAAGAAAAAAAAATTGCCTTTATTATAATTAAATTAAATAAAAGCTAAAGCCCCTCATAACAGGATATTCCTACAAAGCTGTAAGTTATTGCGAGATAAAGAAAGGTTAGCTACTGGCTATTATGCTTATTAACTTATGCTAAGATACAGAGTCAAATCCATTTTTGGTATTTGTTGATAAGCTCTGAGGGAATAATATATTTCATATATAAGAATAAAAGTTGAGATAATGTAAATCTCTAAGTTAGTTGATTCTCTATTTTTTGGCAGAGAAAACTAATTTTTTGGGAACTTTTGAAGGAATCATCATATGCAGTTTTAATAGGACAATTAAACGTACATACATAGTTTTAATTACTTTTATATTTTATAGGCAAAATTGAAGATTTCAAAAAATTATTTTAAATTATTCTTAAAAGTACAATTCTAAACAATTTCATTATGCCTTTACTTCTCCACAAAAAGAAAACATTAATAAAATATACTTAGATATTTCAACAAAACTAATCCTAATCAAGTAATAATGGATATGTATCCTCCAAAAGCTGAATTTTGGATTTTGGATTTAAAAGTGGATTTTTAGTTTTATCAGAGTTTCAAAAAATCTTAAGAAGGGTTTCTACGGGTTAGGAATATCTTTTCAAAAAATTTTCTTTTGATCGAATTTATATGCATACGTCAATTTCAGTCGCTGGAGGATCCTTTTGATAATTGACTTACTGATTACAATAGTTTTTATATTTTTTTAAATAATAAGGGTGTTTTAGATAATGAGTTAAATCTCAAAGGTGTTTTTGAATCAATAAGGAAGATGATAATTTTTTGAGTTTTTTTACCATTATTATTTTTTTTTTTTGGAAACTCACTATATATCTTACTATATTAGAAACAAAAACCACATTTAAGAGAAAGCACCATCATTTGCCATGTGGCATTTCCACATCATATTTTTAAAATAAATTTTTATTATCAGATTTCCTAAATTTAAAAGGCAAATGCAGTCTAAATTTACTTCCACCTCCTATATTCGTCAAAGAAAAAAAAAACCACGGGTTCATAAAAAACCCAAATCATCATCCCCATCTCCACGACAATCGACTCCTTAATCAATCCCTTCTTCACAATTAAAAAAAAAACAAATTCCTCATCAATCATCAATTGAGAATATATAGTGAAATATACTCCTTTCCTATTAGCATGTTCAATCTTTTCATTAGTGATGATCAACTACATCTTAATCAGATAAAATTTGAACTTCAAAAAATATTCTCTTTACCTCTCTATAGAAACACAAAGGAAAAAAAAAAAATTCTCATTGATCTTGCTTCGGCCGTTGTGATGGTGCCATTATAGGTATTAAAATTTAAATGATTTTATTTCCACAGATCATTGGTTTGGCTTTTAGTATTTTTTGTTTTTTCCGTTCAAGGATAGTGTGATTACTATTATTTTTATGCGTCCATTCGTTACAGCTACCGTAGCCGTTGTCAGGTAGTATGATGTGATTTCTTATTTGGTTAGTTAGCCTAGAATTTTTGTATGATTTTAGTTATGTTTGGATTGAATTGATTGATTGGGTTTTTGTTACAAAGTGTGGTTTTTTAAATTTATTTTTTATGTTTCATTCAATTAGAGTGGTTTTCTTTTTTTAATTATGGAGTCTCAGGTTTTTTTTCGTATATGGCCAATTATGAAGTGTGTTTTTTCTTTGTTTAATTGCTTTTGATTTTGTTTCATATTCCCAGTTGACCAATTATTATTATTATTTTTATTATTTTATTTGCAAATGAAGCACGTTTCTTTTTTTGTGTTCGGGGTTTCAAGAACATAATTTTTTGGATTTGGTTTTTGAACTTTTTTTAGTTCCTCATCATATACATAGTTCAGGTCACTTCTTTTAATTAATTTATGGGGAATCCTTTTATGAATTTGAGGTGGAGAGGGAAGGAATGATGTTTCTACGTTTATTTGTGTTTTTATACATCAGTTTTACCTAGAGAAAAAAATAAAAATTCTCAAATTTTAATGGGCTATCTTTTACTTTTTTTTTCTTTATTTGCCATGGTGAGGTGAGTTCTTTGTTGCTATATCTTGAAACCTGTGCAAATTTATATTATTTTCATTCTCATATTTGTGATCAACCAGTTTCAACAATTAACCAGTTTCAAAATCATATTTTTGATATTTTACTACCTATAAACTTTTGGAAGAAATAGTTCCAACAATTAAGCATATAACCTTTGGAGGAAGCTAACTACAAAGCTATTATAAATCTCCAAAACTAAGTATTGATTTGGCACAACCAATGGAGAAAATCAATAAATTATCTTACTAATATTTAAACTTATTAGGATGCTTTATATTTTGTCTAGCATTTATTTCAAGACATATATTTGATCAAGTTTATTTATATTTAAGAAGTAACACTTATAAAATATTTCTAAAATCTTCAAACATTTCTAAAACGTACCGGGCCAAATACAATTTATTTTTTTACCAAATACAAACATCACACTTATAAAACATTTCTAAAATTCTTCAAATATTTATAAAATATATCGGGCCAAATATAAAAAAAAAATTTCAGATACAAACATTTCTAAGATATACAGATATATTGAGCCAGGGTCGCGCATTTACATCACTAGTGTATATTATATACCAAGGTAAACATAAAAGTACACAAGTTCAAAGACGCCTATTCATATTTTCTATTACATCTCTAAACACTTTAACCATATGAAAACTATCAAGCTAACTAGTTGCATACCTTGTGTCCTGAATTAGATCAGCTAATGTACAGAAACTGGCATTTTCTGATAAAATAACTTCACTAAAATAATACAATCAGTTTGTAGTAGAAGTCGTCGCCTTTGCACTTCCGCTTGCAGTGCTGATTGAACATGAAATCTGACGCTCCCGAATGCAAGGGCGTTACCAGTGCTGTGGATGACCTCCCAGGCAACCGCCCCATGCTTTCCAACTTCTTTATAAGCTCCATATGTCCTAATGATTCGATGATCCGCCAGGAATTGCGATGCTACTTGCGTCCCAGGTTGCACCATATCAGTGACCGATCGATTGGGCACTTAGACTTGTTGAGAGGAATTTACGAACTGTTGCCACTCTTTAAAGTGTAAAGGCATTAACGGTTTCGGGCAGTATCTAAAGGTAGCGTCAGTGTCACTGTCAATGCCTCTAACCACGCAGAAAAAGTATGATACAATCTCACTCCTGAATCAAAACCAAGAGAAGAAACAAGCCAAACCTCCTTTGCAGCTGCACAAACCGAGAACAGATAATGGAGATCTTCTTCATCCTGCCACAACTTTTACAAGTTGTTTCAACCTCCAATTTCTAATGAGCTAAATTTGTAAGAGAATGCATCATTCGCCGCTCTCCACATGATTTCTTGAGTAACTAACTTCTTTTGAAAAATTAAATTTTTGGAAGAAATTGGTGTTCAAATTTTTATTCAAGTTTATTTTTTAGATCTTAAGCCATTATAAAATATTATAATAATACTAACATGTGTGTAAAGATATGAAACTAAATAAAAATATGTCTTTTCCCGACAATTTTTTTTTTATTAAAAAAAATGGAGCTCACTTATAGTAGAGTATTATATATAGTATTAAAACTGAAAGATTGAACCAAAAAGGAAAAAGAGAAATTAAGGTAAGTTTGCATCTAATTGATAGAATCATCAGGTGTTGTTTGGTACGCCCTAAAGTTTTTATTTCTGGCAGCGGCTGTTTGGAATTGTGATCGCAAAGCTAGGGTTTTCAGCCTTGTGGTCACTCATCGATATATTAAAATATCAACGTGTTCCGTTTGAATTAGATTATTATAAATTTGCCGCATGGGACGATTCCGATTTTGAAGGTGATATCCAAAATCTCCAGTTTTCCGAAGCTAGAAAATTTGGTGATTGGGTAAATAAGGTGTTGAGTTCACGCAAAAGCTCCCACTGTGGAACCATTGCGAATTGCGTTTCATATTGGGTTATGAACCTACAAAGTCAAATTGACAAATGGTTCTATTTTGCCATTGCTAAAAGGGTTCGAAAGTTGGAACTAGATCTGACCAATTTCGTCGGATGTTGGGCGGGATGGATCTTCAACTAATGTCTACACTTTTCCATCTTGGATATTGGATCGTCCTTTTCCTATGCCGTTTCCCATCTTTGATAGGCTAACAGCCCTTGTGCTTCAAAGGGATTGCTGTGTTTGACAAGGATATTGAATATATTTTTGTCCAAATGTTCGTTGCTTGAGCAGTTAATGATTGAGAACTCCTCTGAACGTGAGAATTTCTGATCAACCACATAAATTGAAGCACTTGGAAATCAGATATTGTGATAGATTGGTGAAGATAGAGGTCTCATCGAGAAGCTTGACATCTTTTAAATATGCTGGCACAGTTATAGACATCCGCTTCGGAATTTCAATGGTGTCCTTAAGGATGGCTTCACCTTCATGGAAGCCACTTGAATGCTGTGAACATTTTGTTTTAAATCTCCACAGCAATTTGCATATCTTTCACGGGTTAAAAGATTGGAACTGGGTATGAGCATTATGAGAGTTGGGTGAGACGCAAGAGATTCCCTAGAAAATTTTTAGAATTCAGCAATCTTTGAGCAATTGGAATTTTATATTTGAAGCATTTTTTGAGGAGGAGAGTCTTGTATGTATGTATGTATGTATGTTTTAGTTCAATAATAGTTGCATGTCAAGAAAGATACTCCTTTTGATAAACCTTTGTTTAGCGGAGCCATGGAATCTTCTTACCTAAAGGACTTGGAGGAAAGGGCAGCTGAGTTTACTCATCAATCCTTGAAAGTTATTGAATTTGTTGGTTGGGTTGGGGTCAAAGCTGATGTTGAACTTGCTATTTTGTTGATTGACAACTCCGCGGATTCACTTGAGAAGGTTATAGTTAATCTTCGCATCCCCCATCCCTCGAGGCATTATCGTTCATGGTCGAGGGGTCTTTCCTTCAATGGTTCGGAAGTGCAAAGCAGCTAGAAGGAAAACTTCCACCTGGAGCAAAGTTGATCATATTGTAACACACTGTTTTTATTCATTCTTTGTGAAGATTGTTATTTTTAATTATTCTATTTGCCATATTTATCGAAGTCCGAAGAGAAAGAATCCCATAGAAGACCTACTGCTTGCAAAGACTTAGGCTTTCTTACTTTTTTACTGACGAAGACATTGCTATATAGCTCCATTAGATGTTGCTTACGTATTCCACATACCACATGCCAATAAATTCTTACCATCAACAGTCACAAAATACAAGGGCAATTAATTCAACTTGCATAAGCTAAAGCACACAAATCAGAGTAAGAAAAAATTCCTGTGACAGACAGACATGACCAGGTGAATGACAAGGCAAATGATACTACAGTATGCTCCTATGCGGAACCAAACTCAGAGAACCACTTCTCATGACGTTCTATATCTGCAGCAGAAACACTGGGTTGAACTTTAGTCAGAGCTTCTAAGAAGTCACACATGGCGACGGGATCCTTTGAAATCTCATCCTTGGGCATGTTCTTGATCTCCTCACGTGTCTTTCCTGCTATCTTTCGCCTCATGCCATTCAAAGAAGCATCCCTACAAACGTTTGTCAGATCATCTCCACTGTATCCCTCTGTTTTGCGAGCTACTTCGTCAATATCAACATCTGCAGCCACCTAATGATATGCAAACAGAATAGGAAGATAACCAGTTAAAAAGAATATCCGAAAAGAAATACTTAGGGTTCTCTCAGTCATTTAAAACTCTCTGGTAAAACAAGGTCTATTCATTGTACCAATGCTCAGGAAAATGATACTCATTTGAAGTTTTCGAACATGATGTTCACGCTCATCATGCATGAAGTAGCCAGTTACATGTAATGTAACAAGAATTTTATGCCAAAATACCATTTGAAAAACATTAACAGAAATATGATAAGAGATCTTTTCAATCAGTAGTAATTTGCATTTCTGTTCACCTCAATAGATTTCAAATTGATTCTTATAAGCTCCTTGCGAGACTCAAAATTCGGAAGAGGAATGTAGATACGCTTTTCCAGACGCCTCCTGAAACGGATGAACACATATCATATTAGTGCCCCATTTATATAAATCAGATCGCCAACCGAATGCAGATTCTCCTGACAACTGATCCTATAATACACAACCTAAACAAAAGATCAAATAAGTAAACAAATGATTCGAAGGCACAACCTTAGAGCCTCATCTATATCCCAAGGAAAATTTGTAGCTGCTAATACCATCACAATTTTGCGAGTGCCATCTTCATTTGTAGCAGAATTGCTTACGCCATCAACCTGGACCAAAAGTTCTGACTTGACTCTCCTGGATGATTCATGCTCACCCGAAGCACTGATGAGATACATAAATATGAATGAGTATGGAACCACATCATTAATTTAATTGCCCATGAAAACAACATGATAAGGTAAATGGTAGTTGAAAGAGAAAGTGTTCTACAGCGTTCCATGAGTGGCAGAACATATACACAGAATGACAAGAGAAAAAGTTAGAAAGATGCAACCACATGCAGCATTGGAAGATGGTAAGAGATAAAATCACGGATATTCGGATAGATATAATAACAGAACCTTACCCACGAGCATTGCAAAGTGAATCAATCTCATCAATGAAGATTGTACTAGGGGCATAAGCACGTGCAAGATCAAACAAGCAACGGACCATCCTCTCACTCTCTCCACGCCACTTTGAAGCCAGTGTAGCAGAAGAAACATTGAAAAATGTTGTTCCACACTCGGTAGCAACAGCTTTAGCCAGAAGCGTCTTCCCAGTTCCAGGAGGGCCAAACATTAGGACACCCTTCCAAGGTCTCCTAATTCCCTGCAAGAGAATTAATGTCAAGATTTTAGTCTACGCTTTTCAGTTAGATAGTGCTGTGTATTATGTGAAACTCAGATAAAGAATCAAATCTGAAATAGGGATGGCATATCTCGAACAGAAAGGACGAACTGCAAAATCACGAAAGAGTTCACAAACCAAGCCACATAGGCTATCAGTGATGAATTAAAATCAACAATCATTAATAAACAAACCTGAAAATATTCAGGCATCCACAAAGGAAGAACAACAGCTTCCTCCAAAAGCCTTTTTGCTTCACTAAGTCCAGCAACATCATCCCATCTGACTCCTGGGCTCGTTTCCAAAACATCTCTTTCAAGCATGGCAGCCAAATCTGCATCAGGCCCCTCATATTGTATTTTCTTTGTTTTCCCATCTTCAACATCGTCATTCTGGACATCATCCACAATCCAAAATCAACTTTAGATCCCAATTTAAAGTAAATAAAAATCAGCACAAAACAAAATAAGACCACAAGACCACTTTTGAAATGAGCAAAATGAGTTCATAACATACCACGGAGTCAGCCTTTCCGGGTTTTCCAGTTCCTGTACCTGTGCTTGCACCTTTTTTGCTTGCAGATGATCCCCTAACTCCAGAGTTAGATTTATTTGAAGCACCAGCTTTAGCACCACGGCCTGGAGTACCTGTTCTTGTAGCACCACGAGCCCAAGCTCCATCCTGGGGAGACTTCCTGGTACCCACTTGGCCAGATCTTGCGGGCCTCCTTGATGAATCCCGACTGGGTGGCCTCCATACATCAGGATCATCCGAACCACCAGAAGAAGTAGGATAGTCATCCGAGGTACTAAAGACATAGGATGACTTAGTTTGAATTGGAGGTGATTTAGGCCTTCTGCCGACAGGATCCTCCTTGAAAGACCTCTTTTCCGCATCTAACTGCTTAACAACCTCTGTTTCTTCAGATATAGCTTTTTTAACATTCATCCATTTTGCACGAGTCAGCGGCTCATCAACTGTATTCAAGTGCCTAAACAACAGCATATGGTGCAAGAAAAACACAAAATTCTTATTAGCTACGGCGTCACATCCAAAATGACAACCTAAAATTTGAAGAATCTATTATATGCTTGTTCTTAGATTTTAATTTATCACATGATAAGAAATAGATATAATAAATCTTCAAACAGCAAACATACTTTACGATAGATTCCCATATCCTTCAAGTTTAGGATCCAAGAGACCGCTATAATACAGCAATATAAAAAATAAGTCCACCACATCAGACTAACAAACCGAAACGCACCAGAGTACCCGTATATGAATAGTAATTCAATTTTAACATCCATCTCACAACTGGTAATCACCGACAACAAGTAAATAGTCACTCGAGATGAAAGATCTCACGCACATTGATAAACAATAAACAATTAACCTGCCCTTTCAAGTCACCAGCAACTCTCATGTTCATGAACACCAAATTCCAAGTTCCAATCTTTCATCCTAGTTCCACAAATCTTAGCGCAGAAATGCATTTTACATGGACGGACAGAAAAGCAACAAAAAATCTCAACAGGGGCAGACATCAACACCGGAAAAAAAAAGAGAAGAGCTAATAAAGCAACATACTTGTTGATTTGAGCAATGGCCCCATCGAAGAAGATGATTGAAGTGTCATAAAGACCTTCTTGAGCGTACTCTCTGGCCAATTTCAAATGATCCTGCAAACCCGTCAGTGATGCACCCACCATTGCTGCTTCTCAATCTGAGCTACTTCCACCAGAAACTTCCCCAGCCCCAACACTAGTAAATGTGATCAATGGCAAACACTCACTCTAAATCCTAGGGTTTTTTAAAACAGAAATCCAGCTCATAAAAACAGCAAAATGTATCAAATTGAAGATGTAAAGGAAGAATGCGGGATTCAAAACAGTAAAGCGGACCAGCAGACAAAATGACGCACGCAGAGAGTATACCGTTCCAATTGAGGTCGGTTTTCCGTCCGAAAATGGTGGAGGACGGCGACGTTTTAACTGTCTGAAATCTAAAAATTTGTAATTGACGACGAGTAAGGGAGGAGGAGAGGAGATTGATGAATTTACCAGATTATCCTGTGAAGATTTGGGCCCTCGCAATGCTACCGTTAATTTTACGAAAAGTTGGGTTGGACTTTTGGACTGTAGAGCCCACTTAAAGGCCTCAAAGTTGGGCGGGCTATGGTTTCTAATTTAAACCATGTTAAAGTGAATAATAATTTCATTACATATCACTTTTTCACCTCGATTGTTAAGTGTGTTTTTTATGAAAAGATTCTTAATAATGATAGCAATGTTTTTTTTTTTGAAGGGATCAATAGTGAATGTTGATTGAAAATTGAATGTAAAAAGATTTCCATCAATTTAGGTGCATCTGAAATCTTCAAAAGAATCAAGAATTCAAGAGAAATCATGGCACAATAAAGGCTAACAAGTAGTATGATTTCTCTGTATGAAAATTTAGGTCAAGCTATGGTGTTTTTAACTGTACAGGTAAAAACAGTAAAAAGCTTGTTTGCTAATTGAGTTTATAAAGCACAAATCCCTCCAGTTATTGGGAATGCACTAGCTTTTTTTTCATTCAAAAATTTAACCACCAATGTTCAATATGAGAAATCTCTTTTATTTAATTTTGACAGAAGAATCACTGCACCATTCCATCTTTCACCAGCTCTTCCAATCCTTTCCTCAGCCTAGCCGAAGCAACTCGACAATCTTCTTCGCGCAATCCCCCATACGAAATCCTTAGATAGCCTTCGCAGCCACTGGAACACCCTGGGATTACAACTATACCATGTCTCCTTGCTAACCAGCGAACGACTTCAAAATCATCGGAATGTTTGTCCGGAAGCTTGGCCCACAGATAAATGGCACCCTCTCCACCTCTAACGGCATCCTCTCCCAAGGGAGTTAACGCTTCTAACACAATTCCTCTGTTCTTGACAAGATCTTTCACCTGATCAGTGACCCATTCCGGTCCTACTTCCAATGAGAAAAGAGCCAGCCGCTGTGAGATTATAGAAGCACAAATAGGTATGTTGTCTTGGATTTTAAGAAGTTGCTCTGATAAACCTTTCACTTCAGAAGGGTAAGCAATCTGCAAGGGGAAAAAAAGCAAGAAAAAAAGATTGATGACTGCATCACTGAATGAAGAATCTTGGTATACAGGCTTACATTAATTTGAGCTGTCTGAAAGTCAGCACAAAGTCGTGAGTTCTTATTTCCCTTCCAGATTAGAGGGCATCACCGTTAACAGTCATGAATGGAATGGTAAACTAATTATCAGTGAGTAAACAGATTTATGAGCAAACATACATCTGAGTCGGCCCAATATGTCAATGACAACACTTCGACATTCTGAGTATATGGCAAGTTTCTTATGCTCAAAACTAACTTGCATATTATTACCCAAAAAAAGGACTTCACACCTATGTTCTCGCTCGATTCATAACTTCACGGCTACAGGGGAAAAAAATTGCAGAAATATTGAGAAACCATCCACGAAAACTTAATATGCAGGATACAAAAAATGAGGAAAACAGGATAACGAAGAAGAACTGGAGAAAGCAGATGTAGGACCACCTATCAGAATATCAGCACAAGAACGAACAAATATTGGGCGATAGAATGAATTCAAATCTGACAATTAAAATCCATCTTCTTCATGAAGGATGCACACAACTGAAACAATCACTGATCTTTCATTTTCCATAATATTGTGAAATCCGTGAAAGCATGACTTACATAGCCAACTCGCCATCCCATCATCCCATAAGCTTTTGAAAAGGAGAAGATGTTGATAATATGATTATCCTCCAAACAAACATGCTTTAGACCATCATACATGAAGTACCTGCACAATACCGCTTTGAATCATAAACTAGCGATACACGTTTTATGTGTTTTTTGTTTTTCTGTTTCCTGAGATCGGTTGATAGACAACCAATTATCCTAAAGCAAAAAACTGTGATCATCAGAAACCAACTATACATAAGATAACATGAAGTCTCACTGTTTAACATTTACAGATGAGAACTACAACAGAGAATCTTACTGCAAAAGTGGCTGGCAAAATCGCCATTGAAATAGCCAAATTACAGACAACCTAAATCTTAAAACATTTTCAGACCAGAAAACAAATGTACAACTCTCAAGTACCTAGATCAGCACATGTCATGAATTCACAAATGGACTAAAAACAAAGCTTTCATCTTTGCCTCCGGAATTGTTTGGCTAGAGTATCGAGGTATTCATGGCATTTTCAACAACTGAACTCTTCAAATAGGACAAGTGTACAGAAAATCCAAGATCTGAAAGAGCTAATAAAGATAAATACTAACAATACTTACTCGTATGTGTTATCCATTACAAGCCAACAGCCAGCATTTTTACAGATATCTGATATCCTCTAATCAAATTGTCATATGTGATCAAGTTAGTTTTTGGAAGGATAATGGAAGATGTGACTTGAGCACTTAGGTAATCCCTCTGTCCCAATAAAATAGTCCGCTTTGTTGAACTAAAACAGTACAACAAACTGGACCATTTTTCTGGGACGGAGGGAGTACAAAATAACATTATTCAAAATCATACACACAATATCCTTAGAGGAAGAGACCTTGAGAAGAGACTCTGGGATATATGTTCCGGATGGGTTACCAGGATTCACAATGGTAACAAGTTTTGGAGGAGGTTTGGTCTCCTGCAATGTCTTTTCTAACCAGTCTGAAGACCAAAAAAATGTCAAGTGAGATGAAATACATACCAATTGCTTTATTCATTCACTGACTTAAAAACATTTAGTGACAATCAAAACAAAAAGTACTAGACAATTCCTTACAACATGGAAAATGAAAAAATTTAATAAATGAAGGGGAAATACTGAGTGCTAGATAAGACAGATATGTAGCAAAGCAATCAACCTGCATCAGGATGCAGTGTCTTAGGATCTCCAGGCCCAACAAGAATGTCTGTAACGCCTGTCATTTGGAAGGACATGTAGGCATTGAAGTAGTATGGTGCAAACATAATCACAGAGTCCCCAGCATCACATAATGCGAGAACAACATTCACAAATGCCTGCACACAGCACAGGGGGACACTCAAATGATATGTCACGACATTAAGAATTATGCAAACAAATCAGAAGAGCAATAAACAATTTGTATGAAGCGGAGATAAATGCACCACCACGTAAATCTTATGGTATCCTAAAACCTCGAAAGTTCCACCAACAAGAAAGCAGACACAAAAATGAAAGATTCAAAAATGTTAAAAGAAAAATTCTTGACCCGTAGACGAGCTACGCTGCCACAGTATACGAGTCCTAAACCAATAGCATATAAACTAATTTTCTAACCTGTAAAAATGTAACTTGGCAAATGACCAGTCAAGAATTCGAATGGTTCATTTAATTCACAAGTAAACAAGGGGAAAAAAAAGAAAATAGCATGCACATAAAAAGACATGTAACTTTTGACACAACAGCATAAACTACAAACTAGAAGAATTAAAATGTCAAAACTCAATGTTATTTATTACATTTTATAATAGGAAAACTCGAACTCTACTTTCTTAAAATGAATTTCTTCAGGGGGCGGGGAGAACGGGGCAGAATCGGTTTTCTTTAGGATTACAGACGTAAAAATGTGCATGCTACCTGATTTGCACCAGCAGTGACCATCACTGAGGACTTGTACAATTTATTCTCTTCACGAATCTGAAAAGCAAAAGTTAAGAAATTAAGAATGAAGATTGCATTCCAGAGAACTAAACAAGCAAGCTTCGGAGGTTATAGTAAATTCGTGGAATCCACATTGCACTTTAAGCACCATCAGCAAAATATGCCCCATGGCTCATTAAAGCAGGAATAAAGTGCCAGAAACTAATATTCACCTATAATCATTAGTGGGAAATGATCGGAAAATCGTGAGATTAACTTCACAACTTATGGAAAATTTAAAACCAAAGGATTCTACCTTTCTAGTTAATGCCTCCCTAAGTTCAGGAAGCCCTTCGTCGGCACCATAACGACTAACTGAAGGATCCCATACAAGTTGTTGCACTTTTTCTAAAGCCTGCTTCGGTGGCTGCCAGTACACCACTCCCTGCATTGCATCATAAACGTTTAAAATAGAACCAAAACAAGAACCATCAAAACTTACACGGGGGAGGGAAAAAAATCCCGGACCACACATCACTTGGCCAGGTGGAACCAAATTTATTGGTCACCAGGAAACATCACTCTATTCATTAGACCCTTTTTAAAGGTGAAGGGAAAACTATAGAGCATTGCTGTGCACCAGATCATGACCATAAAGGATGCACAGACGCAGGCAAATGATCACCTTGTCTCAGTCTTCCTCACTCCTTACTAAAATATACTAGAAACAAGGGTGTCTAACCTTTCCCGTTTAGCCAACAATGATATGTGCGGTGGCAAGTCAAAAGAGCGGATAAAAACGACCAAGAATGTCCATTTTTTGCTATGGTTTCAGTGATGGGATTTATTAAATTCAATAGACTATCTTTGCGGGTACTCCAAATTCCAAAGGAACACATCACAAACAAAGCTCGAAACACAGAAATATATACATGCAAGCATCCACGTTTTCCAATTTCTCGAACTCCATAACAAGACAGCATCTTTAAAGTAAAACTAATCATAAAAGAATAACAAATTCCCAAAAACGTAGGGGAGAGAAAACAAAACCTGAGCTAGAGAAATGCAATCTTTAACCCCTCTGATCAATTCTTGAATCTGCAAAAGGAAAAAACATGGATGGAACAGAAACGATCGATTTAAACACCCCAAAAGTTGTGATATGAATCATATATATACCAAGAAGACAAAATCAAATGGAAGCACAGAAGACTTTTCAGAAAACACGAATGATGATGAAATGTGCAAATTACCTGCACCATAACAGGAGTGTTTGTGAGCAAAGCTCTCCTTGCAAGCATCCCTTGAGAACCCATTTTTTCAACTCTGTATTTTCTCTCTGTTTCTCTTAATCCACCTTCCAGTCCCAGCGACTACACAACAGCAGAAATACAGAGTTTTTATAGGTCCACCAATTTGAAAATTAATAGAATTGTCTTCACCTTACGGTCCTCACCTACCTCCCAAAAAGATAATCAGATTTAAAAATATAAAATTTAGCTCTTTTTTTTTTTTAGTATTAGGTACAATTCAGAAAAGGGTTTGTCCTTTTACACCAGTTAGCCGAGTTTAAGAAATCAGATTACAGAAATCTGAAGGAAAAAAAAAGGATAAGAAAAAAGCAGCTAACTTTATTGGTGTTTTATAGTGTATTTGTTTAGTCGTTCTTTCTCTTATCCATCCATTTTTTCTCTTGTTAAGAGACGGCTCTAAAAAGGCTACTATCTTTTCAAACTTTGCTTTTGATGATGGAAGAAAAGCCAAAAACACGCATCCACAGTTCTCATGTTTGATGTACATTGTTGTTTGTGTGTATCTTTCTGGATCTTGGCTCATGTATTATTATTATTCTTTGATTTTCTATTCATTTTTTAATCTCTTACATCATAATTAAAAAATGGGTTTGATTACATATATTCTCTAACATGCTCCCTATGAAGAAGAATTTGCACATTAAAGCTGGGTTTTTTTATTATTATCACTTTAGTTTATGATTGAGTTTATACGTCTGTCTCCCTGAATTTATTCCTGACTTCGCTGGCTGAGTGAGTAATGGATACGTTTTAATTGCCAACCCCACTGGATTTATGCTTACTATTTTTGAGCGGTTTGAATTTTGTAGATTTTTTTAATATGGATTTAGTTTTTTTTTTAATGGATTTAGTTTGATTCTAATCATTAGTTGCTGCATATGACAACTTTTTTAAGAGATTACAAAAGATTTCTTGAGATAATCGGAATTTAAAGACAAGAAGGATTTTGCATATTTGAGATGAAACTTGACTTTGTTAGAGACACATATATCAAAATATGACACTAATAATCTTATGGATTGAAAAGTGAAAACTGAGACTTCCTCCGGTCCTTATTATAAGGCATTTTAATTTTATTTTAGGTTTACTTAGTATGCGTTTTTAATTGAAAAAAAATTTAAAAATATCTTTTTCACTTTTATCGTGTTCTCCTAATTATTAAAAAAATATTTTTAAAGTTTTTATTTCAATTAAACAGACATCTTAGGTGAAATTTAAAACAAATCTAAGACAAATCAAAACATCTTATAATAAAGATCCTTCAATGTCTTATAATAAGGATCGGATGGAGTATTAACTTTCACCAAAAAAAATAAAATAAAACAAAAGAAAAACTGATATTAACACGATGAGCAAACATGATGTCCAATGTCCAAGTGGAAAAAAGACAAAGTACATAATATAATTCTTAGTATGATTTAAGCATAAATTTACTTATGTATGCGCCTATGTGTCTTGATTTTTGTAGCAGTGGAACAAAGTTTTTTTTATTTTATTTTACCAGTAATCAGCAGAGATAGCAGTGGAACAAAGTAGGAGAAAAAAAATTATGATTCTAACTATGAGACAAACTAGTTTCTCATCATAACTAATTTTATCTTCGTCTTAATGCCTCTCTTGCGACTATTATGTATTAACATTATGATGATATGATCCACTGTTATCTCATTCTGTCTTTCTTTTGTGTTTCTTTAGAATGCAACAGAAAATAAATTTACATTTTTTTCATTGTGTTTATAAAGATTTTCACTTGATTTCAATCTATCATAACTAACCCTATATTTTATCTAAACAAAATTTCAAAATTGATTTACCTCATTCCAACCAAATGAAAATGAGTTCAATGGTAATACTTTTGAAAGAAATATTCTATATATATATATATGTGTGTGTGTGTGTACTTATCATCATCTTATAACATTATACCCAATTAGCTCCAACATAATGGGGTGCTTTTTTTCTAGAAATATTTTTGTATTTAAGCCGTTCTATTTCTAGAAACATTTTGTCTGGCTTTGTATTCAACTAATCACAAACCCTATCTTCTTTGTTTTTTTTTGGGGGGGGGGGGGGGGTTTCAAATCCTATCTTCCTCTTTGAAGAAACTGGCAGAAAAAAGGACCCAAGAGTTTACAAACAGATGTAACTTGTTGTGAGATTTCCAATTGTATGTATGAAATCACCAAAATTTGGGCACACGTTGCCTAATGCTTAATTGCAGTTATCTTAATTACGTCAAAAAAATCTACCCACTAAACGACAAAACACGAAACAAAGTTAACTAACTTTGTCCAAGTCAAAATTTAACATTGGCAACACGCGGTCAAAGAGGGAATTTCCAGATTTTTTATTTTTATTTTACATTTTTTTACCCACAGGATTTTCTTTAATTTTGAACTTCAGAATCTACAAATCACGCTCATTGACACCATTATAAAGATCGAAGCTTCCAGTTTCAGAGCAATGCACTTTATTGCAAGGGTTCCTTGGAGGGTCTTTCAAGTTTCAACCTTTGAGCTTAGAAAGCTTGGTTCTTCAGAGGTTTTAACTTTTAACTCCAACCCACATTTGCTTGGTTACGTTGATAATCTTTTTTCTTATTTTTTCTCAAATCTTTAGTATGTTTTTGTTTTTTTAAAAAAATTTATTTATTGGACTAAATGCGTTGGATGGACGCTGTTCCCTTTCAAATGCTTTTTGTCTGATTATTGATTGGGTTTTCTTTTTTCCCACATGTCTAATGTTCTGTTTCTGTGAAAACTGAAAAGTGAAAACTTGAAAATGGCTTCTGTGAAATTCTCTGTTCTGGATTTTTCCCCCGTAATATTGGGAAGCCATGGAAAACATAATTATAATTTCAACGAAATTGAAATTCTGCAAACATCGAAAAGCATAAAGGAATGGAATGCCTAATAAAGATCAGTACTTTGTTCTGCTTTTGTTTTTTCCCTACTTTCTTCTGCCCCTTTTACGTTCTTGGAAAAGATGACAAATAATGGAACTGGGATCAAATGTATGATCACACAGGAAAAAAAAATGGAATCAAATGCATTGGAATTTCTGGGTTCAAGAGTAGTCAGTGAAGAACTTCAAGAACTTGAAGGGAAAAATAAAGAACACATAAAAAGATCCTTTCTTTTATGCTTTGGCACTTTCGGTCCTCAGGATTTCTGCTTTAAGTTCTTAGCAAGCTGATAAAGAATCATCTTTTACACGATTTCCATATTTTTTTGTCTGGCATAGGCTCAGTGTTATGGTGCAATAGAATCCAGATGATAGAAGTTGTAGTTAATTTTGTTTTTATGGTTTTCAAACCCTTTTTTTTCTGTAGTGGGTTCAAACAATTGTCCTTGATAATGAATACTCTTATCTCATGTACTGAGGATATAAATTTGGAAAGAATTAATCCTAATTATATGTGCTTGAATTTCGTCAAAATTGGTTTTAGATTATAGATAATGTATTCTTCTTTCTCTTCACAAATTTAAGTTGGTCCAGCTGTACCATAAGAGAACATCCGCGGATAGTGCAAAATCTTCTCAAAGAAATCCACTCTATACATACATCAAACTTTTTCATCGGTTTTGTATTCGTGGAGGTTTCTTAATTTTTAACCAGAAAGCAATTGAAATTGGAAAGTTTTCAATTTTCAAATGTTTCTGTTTCTGGGTTAGTCATTTTCTCAAGTTTATAAGCTATTGATTTCATGTTTCTCAACTGCATGTTGAAACTCATCAAAAGATCGGGCAACAAGCCATCTACTCTGATTGATCACGACGAAAGTTTCATTTCAGGTTGTATGGATTGACGTAGAATCCAGAAAGACTTGCTTTCGAAGAATCTAATTTTTTAAGCATGGAGAAGGAAAATCTTATAGAGCCAGCAGCTGGAGCAGCTATCGGTTCATTTACTAGACCACGAGTTAAAGCTGTTTCCCATCAAAATGGAGTCTTTCTTTGCAGAGAAATGCCAAAGCTGCCCCTACCACACACAAAGAGAGCAGCATTTGATGAGATTAGTGGGAGTAATCATCAGCCTAAGAGGAGAGCTGCGCTCACGGATATCTCAAATGTTGTGTGTGCCGGGAATTGCATCAAAGCATGTACATTTGCTGTATGCATTCTTTGTTTCTGTTTACTGATGCTTTCTGTATATTGAATTTGTCTACGTGGAGATATTGTTCTTACTTCTTGTTCACATCCCATTTTTGACAGAATAAACTGTTCCATAGAAGAAAAGTTTGATTTTTTGCTTTGTTTGTATGTTATGACTTTGGTCTTTACAGCTACAAATGTTTCTATTGTTTCTGTTAAGGTTCTGGAGGAGAAACCACCTTGGAGATTGAATGCATTGTCAATGAAGGATGCGAGCAACGATAGCGCACCCAAGATGAGAAAGGGTGCTAACCTTTTGCAATACAAAAGCATTTCAGACAAAATTTCAGAGAAAGGTTTGTCTCCTTTTCAAGCCTAGAATACGGTTAAACTTATTATGATAGTGAAGGAAGCCCTTCTTAGTAGTTAATCTCTGCCTACTTCAGGTTCTTCTTTAGCTTATGAAGGCACTTGACATGAGAAATCTGTTTCCAGTCTGTTTTTTCCGTTCAAATGATATTATATATATAACACAAACTTTCTCCGCCGATTCCAAAAACTGTAGGAATCTGCCAAAGACCTCGTGACATTTTAATATGTTCCATTCTTTGTTCATTAGATGCTGTCTAGTCTTTTTTCAATTAGACATGTAACTTTGATTAAAAACGGGGAGTGTGAGCTCTAGTTTTGTGATTGATTGAACATCCTGTCCATTTTTGTGAAGCACTAGTTTGTCATCTTCAACACTTTGAAATATATTGTATAATCAGTTTCTTGCTCCTTCTGTAGGCAAAACTACTTTGAAACTGTCCATTTATGTTTATAACTATTGGTATTATCTAGTTGCCGATACATTTGTGTGACATGGAATGGAAAACCAAAACCATGTGAGAGTGCTTTTATGATTTTCAGGTTTCGGAATTGACTACTTATATCTTTGTAATTGAGCATAAGATTCGTGCTGAACAAGGATGTATCTTGAAGGCTCTGCCTTCCCTGTTGTTCCATCAGAACATAATCTGATTATTGTTGATGTAAACAGTTGAACACATTCTCCATATGGGGAAGTCTAAACTATCAGCAAAACAAGACATCGTCGATATTGATGCTAATCAGAGATATCCCCAGCTATGCAGTATCTATGCTTCTGATATATACAGTTATCTGCATGTTGCAGAGGTATGTTTGATAAATGCTAAATCTTCTTGTTTAAATAATCTGTTCATCGTGTTGACTGGATATAAGAGTTGACAACCTCAACTCACACACACAATAAAAAGATTGCTACAGTAAAAGTTTTGCGGCATTAATATTGTTTTAGTTATTGTCAAGAGGATCTCGTTCATGAAACTTTCCTTTTCTGAAGTGTAAAGTTTCTAGTTTCTACTTCTATACCAAAAGCAAAATCCATCTCCAAAATTTATGTACTGTTATGTCTTGGAATACTGACCCATAATTTGATTCTTTTCTTATCCAGATAGACAGAAGACCCAATTCTACCTATATGGAAACGGTTCAGCAGGACATCACGCCCCCTATGCGGGCGATTCTGGTAGACTGGCTTGTGGAGGTCAGTAATGTTGATCGATAATGCAACTTTATGAGTTCTAATAATTCCATGGCACTCTTAACAATTACAAGGAAGCAAATAATGAAGTGTAATATTGTTTGTCTTCGAAGGCTTAATATGGTCTTTTCTACGAGTTTGAAACAAGGCATTATCTATAGCGTGTTTTCCCTGATATTGACTTAAATAGGCTATACTTATACTTCGGATCGATAATTAGCTAGTGCGTTTATAAAACTGTGGAATGTTTTAAGTACATATGTGAGTGTCTTTGATCTTATGAGAGTAGTTGCTCATACAAATTTAGATAATAAATGCTCTTTCTTCCAGTATAGCTGTTCTTTTATCTTTTTCACAGATTTGGTATATATTTTCTTTAGTTCATTTGAAAGTTCTGCATTGTAATTTATCAAAGTTCAGCTCTAGCAAGTAACAGAAGCATTACCGATGTCATGTAGGTGTGCGATGAATACAAATTGATTCCAGACACACTTTATCTGACGGTTTACCTCATTGATGCTTTTCTGTCTCTTGAGAGCATTGCAAGACAAAGACTCCAATTGCTTGGCATTACTTGCTTGCTTATCGCGTCGTAAGCATTCTATCATTAATAGTTGCTAATGATTTCCATTAGATGCATAGGTGATTTTGCTTATGTGCAAACCATGAACAGAAGGAAGACTACGCTGCACTGCCATCATACTTGTGATATTTCAAGACTGGAAACGTTAATATTTGAATTGTCTGCCTTGCATTTTGCATTTTCTTGTTTATTCTCTGTATGTTCTGGCCTTTCTACTTTGGCTGTTGCCAGAAGTTTGATTTTAGCAAATTCTCTTATGACTTGAAGTAGTTTCTTACGATTTAAAATATATTCCTCATTTTCCGTTGGTCTATATGCTCTAACAATCTTAAGATGATAAATTGCAGTAGCATCAGTGAAAAACTTTGTAGTCTGGGCATTTTACTGTGCTAGTAAATCAGCTTAACATTCTCTGTAAGTCACATGGATTTTATCCTGCTTGCTGATAGATTCAACAGCAATTTAAATTCTTCTTTGCCATGATACAAATATGCTAAGCTAGAATATGCCAATCATTTGTTCAAGTAGAGAGTCTACTTGTGTTTGAAATAGAAAAAGAAACATGGTTGTCTTCTGATTGTGTTTAACTATTTTCTTTTAAGGAAATTTGAAGAGATTTGTGCACCACGGGTGGCAGAATTGTGCCTAATCACAGACTGTACATACACAAAAGCCGAGGTATGCGATTATGAATTATAACAAATTTTCCTCCTTGCAATTGAAAGTAGTCCGGATGCTAGACCACCCAAAACCTGGAAAGTGCAAATTTTACCATGATAATATTCTCTTCAAATCAAATCCCCGTATGGGTAAAGCACAAGATTTTTAAGACTTTTTCTATTTTATTGCCGCTCTATTATTTAACCATGTAAAGGTCTTTCTAAGAAACTTTGCTTTTACTGAAAAGATAATAGCCAATAGACTTACTTCTGGATACTTTCTCGGTTGGAGCGCTGCAATTTGTCTGGCGAAAGTGAAAGCATTTGTCTGAGCTACTAATGGATGTAAACTTTTGCAGGTCATAGAGATGGAGAGCCGAGTCTTGAACAATTTGAATTTTCGAGTATCGGCTCCAACTGCTAGAACTTTCCTCAGGTGATTCTTGATTCTGTATTTGATTCTTATCAATGCTATTGGCAAACTGACATCTCAAACTCCTTGCATCATGATTGTCAACAGGAGATTCATCCGTGCTGCACAGTTATCTTATGATTTAACAGAGGTAGCATATGGATAAGCTTTGAGTATACTATTTGGTTGTGTGAAAGGCATCTTGAAAATTCTGCAGAAAATGACTACTGTTCTTATATTTTTTTATTTCGTAGGACTTCAATCTTAAGCTGGAGTTACTGGCCAAGTACCTCACCGACTTGACATTGATTCACTATGGTTTTCTGAAGTTCTTTCCTTCTGCTGTTGCTGCATCTGCAGTATTCCTTGCCAGATGGACATTGAGACAATCGGGCCACCCATGGGTTTGTTTCCTCTGCATTTTTTTCCCCTTACTTTTGTCAGATAGATTTGCTAGATACTTACTTATCATTATGACAGAACGCAACATTGGAACACTACACCAAATACAAGTCTTCGGACCTAAAAGTAACTGTTTGTGCATTGCAATGTCTTCAGTGGAATAGTGCTAGTTGTCCTACAAACGCCATTCGTACAATATACTGTCAAGCTAAGGTGAGACCATACTGAAGAAAGTGACTAACTCTCAACTTTTGCATTAGATATTTCTTGCTGTACAGAATGCTGAGTTCATATTGTGATTGGTACACCTGCAATACAGGAGGCATTGCCTTCATCCATTATAGATTACACATATTGTGTTGATCAGATTTCCTCTTTCATGACAGTTCAAATTTGTTGCTGCTTTGACTTCACCTGTACTTGTCGACGCGCTCTTCCAACAATGACACGGCAGACGATTGCCTTGGCAGATGAATGTAAAAACTCCATCGGCTTAGTTTTACTTCTATTCTTCAAACTCAACTGTTTTTTGTTTCGCGTGCAAAACCTTTTTGCATGTTTCTTCATTCATTCATTCTTTGAACTTCCCCGTTCGGAATTTTGAACTCTTCCGAACCCGTCATTACCTAGAGGATCATATTACCTTCGACTCTTTAGGCAGAAAATACAAGCTTGAATGCTCCAACAACAATAATGTAGAGATCTGTTGTTGCGAGTTGTAGTCACTCGATGTAAACATTTTGAATCTCTCTCAGGCTGCTGTCTCTTTCTGAACTTTGCAGCATTATATTTGCAGCTATAGTAACAGATACATGGAAAGTCTTTTACAGATGGTAACCAAAAAAAAAAGAAAGAAGAGGAAAGATGGGTGTTGTTTCGTTTAAGTTTTGGAATTTGAAGCCATGAATCTTTGTTGCAAATGCTGGTATTCTTTTTCTGGCCTTTTTCCAGTTTCCACCAAAACCTTCTCTTTTTTTTTTGCCTTTAGTAACCAGAATCCAAAGGGTTTTTTAATCTTCATCATATCAAAGATGAAAGAACCCCATCACCAGGGAAAGGCTAAAAGAACTTTCTTTAGTCCCAAGAACTCGAAAATGGATTACCTACTGTGTTAGTTACTATTGTAGATGGTGAAGCTTTAAAAAGAAAAGGTTTCTTTAAAAAATAAAATAACTGCTAATGAATCCAAAGGAAGTGAACTTTGGCGGCTTTCTTCTGTTGTCAACTGTGGCCCCAAAAAGGACGAAAACCATTCGCTAAATACCAGATATTAAATTGATCAGGGAGGAGAGAGAAAAAAAAAACAAATGGCATTCAAATTCTAATTTTATAGCAAAAGGCCAACCAGGTAAAATAGAGACTAGAGAGGCATAAGTCCCCATAATGTAAAGTTCATATTTTCTTTTCTGGGAGAAAATCTGATCCATTCGGACCATACCAAAGCCGGTTTAGTTTTCAACTGACCATAGATTTTCCCGCATCTTTCAGCGGGGGGAGGAAAAAAAAACGCTGAGATAAAGCAACGAAAATGGCGGCAGCCAATATTTTATGCCAACCCACCAAGCCAATGCAGCTGACATCATCTTCCTCCTCAGCATTCCACAGCAAGATAAGCTCCAATTCCATTTTTAAACATCTTAATCCCAAATGGGCTTCTACTTCTACTACTCTTTCAAGAACAGAACTTGGCGAAATCAGAGCAAATCTGTTTCACTTTGCTTCCCAGAGGCTGCCCAAATCTTCAAATTCATCAGGTATAGCTTGATGTTAAGTATTTTTCATTCTTTATCCAATTTTTCATTGCCCAGCTTTGATTTCTGTATAGTTATGTTTCACAGAATGTATGACTTTTATGGGTTATTTTGGATCTCTGCTGAATGGAATTTTGGAAAATTTTACTTCTTTCAGTATTTGGTTTGAGGGTCGGTTAGCAAAATTTCTCTCTTTTCAGCGTGATTTTATGATTGTGTCGTTAGTATGTTGATTAGTTGGAGTATTGTAGATTGTAATTTTGGCACATTGTTTATTTTAAGGTTCTTCACATCTAGGTTGGGGATTTATTTGTAGTAAACCAATTGGTGGATATAATACTTCTGGAAAAATGTTACTGTTCCATTATCCATCTACATTGATTTTCATTTTTACTTGTTTCATTTTTTCATAGGAAAAGCTCCCTTTCTGCTTTCTTAATCTAGGACAGTTCACTTTGTTCCCAGTATGACAAATATTCCACATAGTGTTTAAATGGGTTGTGATTTGGGATTTTCTTTTCTTTTTCTTTTGTTTTCTTTTTTTTTTTTAAAAAAAAAAGATTCTTCTTGCAGATCATAGAGCATTTGGTCTGATCACTTTACCCCTCCCTTGATGAAATGCTTGCAATGGTCATCTGTGCTTTTCTTGTATTTTATTACGTATGAAGAAGCGGTACTAAATTCTGTTTTCAACAATCATTGAAATATCTCTGGACCTCCTATCTTTTTATTAGTTCTTATCCAGAATTTCTCCATACAGTGACCTGTTCCTGCATTCACGGATTTCGATTAAAGATGAAGACTCAATTGAGTTTTGGCTTTTGCTATTTTTCTGCTGTTGTCATTTTCAGCTGCCTATCTATAGAGTTTTTTTCCCCCCTTCTCTGGTAGCCATTCTTTAAAGATGAACTAAGAAAAGTTGGACTTGAATTTTCTGTTCCATTCATGCAGGTGTTCAAAGTTCCTGGATGCAAGACAACTCTACCTACAGTGCCAATGTTTTTCACAGTGGCAATGGACAAGTCCCATTACGTTCGATGCCTCATTCAACACCTGCCGAAGTTTCTTCTGTGCAGGATCTCTTTGATTTCATATGTTCTGGACCACTTTTAGAGAAAGTGGGTTTAACTACTGAAAAGGTGTCAGAAAGCATTGACAAGTGGCTGCTGTACGGTTCAAAATTGTGTAGATTGTTTCAACTGGATGAGTTGTTTCTCACAGAACCTCAAAAAGTTCGAATATACCATTACTATGTTCCGGTCTTTTTGTGGTGTGAAGGGGAAATTTCACAACATATGTCAAGATATAAGGAAGGAGAAGATGTCCCTCCTTTGGTGGTAAGAACCTTCTCTTATGTTGTTGCATCAGCTCTATTCTTCTTTTGTTTCTCTGTGGTCGTAGAGCGAAAATATCTGAAAACAAGAGGTGAGAACTCGAGGTTATTTAGTCTAATACAGTTTGTCACTGAATGTTCTGCAGTTTTGTACAGTGGATAATTAATGCAATCAAACCTGATGAGGCTGCCATTTATTGTAATGCAGATAGGTTTTAGTGCACCACAAGGTTGTGGGAAAACAACACTTGTCTTTGCGCTGGATTATCTTTTCAAAATCACTGGGAGGTAGATTGCGCAATGGTGATATGTGTTGAATTTACCCATCTAAGTTCTTTAATCAAAGCAGGAGACAGGGAGTTTATAACTCTTGTATTTTGTTGGATCTCAGGAAGACTGCAACAATATCCATCGATGACTTTTATTTAACAGCAGAGGATCAGGTAAGATCAGCAGAACTTGTGATGCTGCTTTTGCAATTTTGTTGCATTTCTGCTTCATATGTTTGAAAATACTGTAATTTGCAGGCCAAACTTCGTGAGAGCAATCCAGGCAATGCACTTTTAGAGGTAAAGGAACTGAAAGTGTTTATTTGTTTCATACCCAAATTTACTAAGGGTGTTGTTTGCCGCATCAGTTTCGTGGAAATGCTGGAAGTCACGATCTTTCATTGTCCGTTGAGACACTGACAGCCCTTAGCAATTTGACTAAAGAAGGTAAATCATTTCCCCATCACTTCCGTTTAGCTGCTGATTGACTAGCTGAAAAGAGGATTTAGTTTGTGTTTGAACTCCATAGGTATTAAAATGAAGCTTCCTCGATACGATAAAGTAAGCTGTTTATTTTCACATTTTTTTTCTTTCCTTTTTTTTTTCTTTGGAAAAAAGATTCGTATTTGTTGTGTTGGCACATTAACCGCCAATATGTGTCTCCACATTTCACAGTCTGCATATAATGGCAGAGGTGATAGAGCTGATCCTTCTACATGGCCAGAAGTTGAGGGCCCCTTAACGGTAAGGCCAGCTTCAACCAAGCAGTGTGATTGCCCAGCTTTCTATTGATTTAAAGACTTTGTTTGGATTCATGTTTGCTTGTATGCAAAGCAGTGTTTGGTGTTAATGCAAGTCGGTGTAGTTTGGAGTTTCATTGTCTGCCTTTTTAATGTGTTAGGCGATCTTGTTTGAGGGATGGATGCTTGGTTTTAAACCTGTTCCACCTGAGACCGTCAAAGCAGTTGATCCTCAGGTAATGCATAGTATATTTGAACCAGAAAGCTCATTATTCCTCGATGAAACTTTGTCAACTCACAGTTTTAGTTCGAACTGATTCAAATTGATTTCAGCTGGAGATAGTGAACAAGAATTTAGAAGCATATTATGATGTTTGGGACAAGTTTGTAAAGTCATGGATCATCATCAAGATTAAAGACCCAAGTCATGTCTATTCATGGCGATTACAGGTTTATCATCATTCACCCCTGTCTGCACTAGGGTCTGAGACATTTTTCTTTCTACAACGATCTTATTAGAAATTTGAATTGATTTGTAGGCTGAAATTGCTATGAGAGCCGACGGATTACCTGGAATGTCCGATGAAGAGGTGCAGCTCAGTAACAAAAACGACAATATGACTATTTGTTGGTAGCTTACAATTTAATATTCTTAAACATCTCGTTTTTTCTTTCTGTGAATACAGGTCATGGATTTTGTGTCCAGATATATGCCGGCATACAAGGCTTACCTACCGACACTTTACTCTGAAGGACCAAAGGGTTCTGATCCAAACCATGTCCTAGTTGTTGAGATTGATGAAGGAAGGAATCCCATCCTTGCTTGCTAGGTGTGGGTTTCTCTTAGGCATACAAACTTCGGATTAGCCTTGGAGTTGTGTAATCTAATATTCACCATTTTTGCCTTCAAAATGTATGTAAATTAACGTTTCAAAAAACAGAAATTGATCGAAGATAGCAATAAAGAGCTGAAATTGTTTTTTTTTTTTTTCTTTCTTTATTTCTGGTACTCCTTTCGTCCCATAATTATTATCTATTTTGTGGTTTCATTTCCTGTTCAAATTATACTAAAAAGTGAAATCTCAAACTGGACAATAATTTTGGGCACAGAGAGAATACATAGTTTAACCTTCAACATTTTATTCAATCTGACAAATCTTTCACACTGCGACTAACTAAAGCCGCGACTCTAAACCAAACCAAACTCCACACCTGTTCTGTTCAGTATGACTAACTAAAGTCACACCTCAAAAATAAAGCAAATCAAGCTGAAACATAAAAGAGAAAAACAAATTCAAGAGCAGTTGCAGCAGATTATGTCCAAGCAACACTCGCAGGTCTCGTAGCAGCAGAAACAGCAGCACGCCGCGAACAAACTGCAAAAGAAATGAATCCTTACTAGAAACTGGATACAACAAATCCTTTGTTACAACTCCAAAAAAAAAAAAAAAGAGAGGAAGAAAGAAGGAAGACGAACCAAGCATAGAGGCAGCCTTTCTCTTCGTGTCGACGTTTGACATGATCAGTGTAAGACATCTGCTGGGAGGCAGGAGCATCCATTTCTTGGCTTCTCTGTCTTTGGGTTTGCCTATACGTTTTGAGTGTAGAGTTTAGAATTTAGAAGTTTAAGAGTTCAGACTACAGAGACTTTAGTGAAGGCAACTTCGTCTCTTGGCTGCTTATTATATAAGGTTAGCAACTTGCTGAATTGGATTTGGTAATTGGATAAAAATCTCAGTAAAAGTATATGCCTCTCACCCTCCTCCTTGTCACTTTAGCATTCACCAACCTGTCATGGTAGGACAATACTAACACTATTCATACAAAAATTATCATTTTTCGCGGACTTGTAAATACGAAACATGACTTGATTAGCATTTTACCAAAATGAAATACTCCCCCTGTCTCAAAATTATTGTCCAGTTTCAGATTTCACTTTTAATACAATTTGAACTAGAAATGAAAACCGAAACTGGACAATAATTATGGGACGGAGAGAGTAATTTGTCTTTAGACTTTTGGGTTGTGGACAAATCTTGACTTATGAGACAATATTCTACATTTTATTTTAATTTTTTATACATAAACATATAAGATAGTACTAATTTTTAACAAACACGCATAATCTCATTTGCTGCAGCCTTCAAGGTCTCTTTCTCAACATTGGAATTTTATCTGCTTTAATGAAACATTGCAAAGGGGATAATATGGTGTCCAATGACCTTCAAGTAACTGAAAATTTAAAAAAAAATTAAAATATAATAAGCCATGATTAGTCATGAAATAGCAAATCTTATATTCAACTAGCAGCCCCATATCCCCCCATCCATCCATCCATCCATCTTATTATTTTGAGAACAAAATCAGAAATTTTGCTAACAGACACGTGTAAATGTCACTATTAGCTGGAGCCAACGCCAAATTAATACGCAAACTCAATTGTTTGATTCGTAACAGTGCCTCCAAATGGTTCACCGTCGCCTGAGAATCACAAGGAAAACAAAACCGTTTTAAGCCACATAACAGCCCATCACTGCATTAATTTTCCGGTTACTTTATTGAAAATCTTCTCCCGGCAGATGATCATAAACTAGCAAATGAAAAAACGCTGCCCTCGATTCCATGTGGTTCGGTCATTTTTTCACCGGATCAAGTAGGCTGGTTAAAAATGTAGTTGGCAAAACAAGCTTGTCAATTAAAATTCAAGTCTTATAATTGCGCAAATTTGTTTGTATCATGGTCTAGGTAGTAAGTAATTGTCAAATCAAAGAGAGATCACTAATTCAGTCTTAATCATTTACTATTTTTTTTTAATTCATCCTCTCCAATAATTGCTTTAACATTCACTATCAAATAAACGTACTCATTTATTCATGCCTTTCCAGAAAGATGCGAAAACACATGGGCAACCCTTTTTTGTGCTGATCCATATATCCGACATTTGTCATCTTTACCTGTCGATTTCGAGCAGCTGGGAGCTACCAATTTGAGCTCTTTCCTAATCACAAGTGGAAAAAAAAACACACACAGACATCCACTAGCCAACTGTTTAAACACAATTAATCATGAATGCAAAAGACTAATTTTCATCAAGAATAGGATCCTACCCATTTGGAATCAACATATAACACTAATACTTTCCAGCCATTTAAGAAAAAACAAATAAACTTGTTCAATAAATATGAATTTTTTATTTTTTTTTTCGAGACAGAGAGAATACAACTAGTAAAAATCATGAAAGCATGTGGGACGGCGATGTAGAGGAGCAAGAAAAACAAGCTAGATGCAAAATAATTAGAGATGGCAAACTGGTTTGACGTCTAATTCGGGTCATATTAAGTTTTAGGCTTTTAGCAATATCACAAAGCCCATGCAACATGTTATACGTGATTGGTGCAAACTGTAAAGAACATGTATTACTTCATCATTAATATTTTTAGTAGCATCAATTTGGATATCTCATCCCTGGAACGTTGTAATTCCGTAGCTATAAAATTTCCATCAAATTACAACCAAAAAAAAAAAAGGTAACAGTCATTTATGTATTTTTTTGGCCAAAAAATGATGAAGATGAGATGATTAGTCTCTGGAATAGCAAGCTCATCAACAAATGTGTTTGGAAGCCTACAAAGAGAAAAGATGGCTGATAAATGCCAAACAAGTCACAGAATTGTGGAAAAAAAAAAAAAAAAACAAACAAACTGAAGAGATAGCTATAGATGGTAATGTTAATTTGAAGAACCCAATATCCAACATCCTCTCTCATCTTGATGCTACCTAGTGATAACTGATAAGAACAATTACAAAACCAAATGTTAAACAGATAATGTATCCTGATCTACAGATTAGTAATCTACATTCTTCTTGGCTTTTGCTTTCTTGAACTCCTCAAGCTCATTCAGCCACAAATCTGCAAATTCACAGTCCTTCCATGCATCAAACCATGGACCTCCTGAAGTATAATGTATTGCCTTGGGAAACGTACTGGAATCACCATCAACAACTACATTATGACCCACAAGGAAATTCCACACAAATGGGATCTCCCCAATCTCATCATCTTCCAACCACTGAAACCTATGCAGAAATGCTCCTGTCTGAGAATTCACCACCTCAGGATTCAAAACCTTGTTTTTGGGATGCCCACAATTGTACAACACCATGGAAGACCAATTCTTCCTAGGATACACTGTCTGAACAGCTCCATCCATCTTTGTTGTTTCTTTAGGGGTATAATCATGTTGCACACACATTATAGCATATTTGTCATCAAGCAAATCGGTTAGTTCCTTTATATCACCAGTGTAGAGAAAATCACAATCTACAAACATGGCCCAACCCTCAAAATTGGCTAGATGAGGGGTTAAAAAACGAGAAAATGAAAACTCTGTACTTTCCAATTTCCCTCTTTCCCTCCAATAAAGACCCTTTTCCCTCAATTCAGATTGCTTAATTGGGTTGATCTCAATTGGGATGGAAGATCTTTTCATCAATGAGTAACGACAGACTTCATATGCAATGTCCTCACAGGGATCATACCCAATGAAGATCTTCAATTGCGATTTAACAGCATTGTCGTCCCTTTTGCCATTCTGGTTAATCAAGTTCCGGGGAATTGAATCACATGATGAGAATTTGGGGCTCAGAGATTTGTTTACCTCTTCTGCCACAAAGTTGATATCTGCCACCAATGTCGACATTTTGCTCCAAGATTTCGTTCCTGTAAAACACAATTCAAAACGGTAAAAATCGAATCTTTACGACCAAAAACCCGATGTTTGCATGTAAAGCTGCATTCTTTCAACAAGATAACACAAGTACCTGGATGAATTGAAGTTTTGCAGATCAGGAATGGCCTTTTAGCAGATTGGACTAAGAAAAATGTTGCAAAAAAAAGAAAAAAGAAAAAAGAAGGGAAAGGGGTCAAGGATCGAAATCCAATCAGAAACACTAGAAACTCTGAAGGCTAAAATATAGGGGATGTTATCTTTTGTACGGGACAGAGAAAACTTACAGGAGATAATTAGATTCTCATAATAATAGTAGTATTGAGGCAATTATTGACGAGGATTACACGGAATTCTCGTATTACAGATGGACTGACTCATGCATGACTCAATCAGTCAATTCCCTCCCCCTCCTCGTTATGGGCCTAAAAAAGATCCAAGGTTGTGAAGACTTGGACACTTCAAAAGAACTCTGGTATGAACATATAATAATTCTTTAGACAAAATTTTGATATAAAAACTTGGACCATCAACCCTTGAAAAGGACCAACTCGGGAAGAATTTAATAGCAGTCAGGGACACAAATGCTCAATATACTCAAAAAAAAAAAAAAAAGGAAAAATTGTGAAGACTTACTAGTCTATGGGCACGCACTTCTGCTGCAGCTATGCTTTCAAGTTTATCGTGGTGGTAAGAAAATGTGTCAGCTAGCAATCACTAGAAGTGCCATGTATCTAAAAGAATAACGATTTGTACAGAGAAATTTTATAACATGAAATGAATCATAATTGTTTACAGCGGCGGAGACAAGGGGTGGTCACCTGGTGCGGCCTCCGTTTTTAATTTTTTTAATATTTATGATATTATAATTATTAAAAAGTATGCATAATTTGTTTATTTTGCACCCCCTTTAAGAATTTTACGATAATAATTAAAAATCTTTTAGTTAATTGATACATCTAGTGACTAAATACAGTGAAAATATATAATGACAAATGGAAAGACAAATACACCATCCACTTACTAAACATTTCTATTTATTAATTAAGGGTAAAAATATAATTTTGGGAGAAAAATAAAACTTCAACGGAAAAGTAACAAGAAACTAGGAGCCATGATTAATCCACATCCGTGACTATATTTTGTCACTATTTTTATTCATTATATATATATATATCATTTTCCATAAAAATTTTTGAAACACTGTTTTTTGCACTCAGAAAATTAAACTTTTAAGTAAAAATATGTGAAATAGCAAAGTGTTACAAAAGATAATAATTAATTTCATACTTTCTAAATGACACGTAAAATTCCATTTCATTATAAAATAAGATATTATAAGTCAATGCCAAGTTAATTATATTAATATGCATTTAAGATGAAAATTAAGAGCCAAATCAAAACAAAAGTAAAAGCCAAATCATATTTTCTATTAAACAATTAATAGAAAAACTAAAATTGTAAAACACTCTATTCTTCTAGCCGGGTGAAAAAAATCTTGATGTCAAATTCAAGTTAACTATACTAAGTTTTTGAATTGGTTTTCATGTACAGAAAGAAGTTTTTTTTCTTATGTAAAAAATTTGCCAAAGTTAGAACCTTTTGTTCTAAAAGTTTTAATAAAAAAATATGTCTATCTTAAAAAACAAATTTAAATTACATACCCTTATAACTTTTAGTGACAAAAATGTGTAAAATATTAATGAAATGTTCTAAATATTTTGTTGTAATTCGTTGAATGAGAAAAAAAAACTGTATATTAGTATTTTTTAACAAAAAAAAGGTAATTGATACTTTTTTAAAAAAAAATTAGTGCACTTGTTCTCTTGAATTTATTTCACACTCACTAATCAAAAATCCTGGCTCCGCCACTGACTGTTTATATTCATACTTCATCTTTAGAGCATCCACAGTAGTGGTAAATAATTAGTAAATAATCACTTTATTACACTATTTATTATCGTGTCGAGTGTGATAATATTTTACAAAATTCTTACAATGTATAATACACTTTTTTGGATTAAAATATAATTGATGTGAATTTATGATGATATTAAAACTATTTCATTTTATTATACTTTTAAAGTGTAAACCAATATAGTGAAAAATTCAATAAAATTATAATATTGAGAATTAAAGTATGAATGGACTATGTTTCATTTTATATATTTTTTTAATACTTTTTAAACACAAATTCCAATACAAAATAAATTATTATCCAAGCGACATTTCAATTTACTTTTTAAAAGTTATTTTAAACATTATTTTCACCAAATTTTCAACCTCTACCACCAACTACCAGCGGTGACGTCGGACCACTACTCCACACCGTCGAAGCTGGTGAAGGTGGTCCCATAATATAGTTAAATAATATTATTTTATTAAAAACTATACAAACAATTTTATTAAATTTTCACTCAAAGCACTTTTTAAAACACATATAAAATCTAAAATGAAAATGAAAACGTAGACAAAATCGTTGTCTATCACTCACAACAATTTACTATTGTGGATGCCGGTTTATTTATTTAAGGATTAGTGGATAATAAAAATTCAACCACATTATCCCTTGTAAATTCTTTATTAAATTAATCATAATCATCCATATTTATACCTTCTTTTAAGAATTTATTCATTTAATGACTAGAGAGTAATTAAAATTTAGTCACATAATTTTTCTTTGTTACATTTTCCTCCTATATACCATCACTCTTCTTCTTACTTAAAACCCAAAAGACTCACCAAAATTCTAGCAAATACTATCTTATTACTCAACCTGTCTTACCAAAAAAAAGTCTTTTATTGTATTATTTAGTTTGATAAATATAAACTTTTGGTTTGAAATAAGCGAATAAATTATTTTTATTATGGTAAAGTTGGTCGTATAGGTCTAAATTGATGATGAAATGCATGCCTTGTGATGTGTATACTTTGTTAAGTTCTCCACTATCGTGCTACTTATGTATGTTTTTAAAAGGAAATTAATGGTAGAAAGCCATTTACTTACATTTTCGTGTGACATTCAATAATGGTGAATTCTAAAAATGGTTATTTGCACATTTTTAGTTCTGTACATTAATATTTAATTAAAATGGTTCTTTACATCTATGCTTATAATTTTTTTGGTTTTTGGCACTATTTTGAGAGTTTGACCAGATCTGACATCAAGTCAATAAAGGTCGATTTGTCACAAAATTTATTTTTGAAAAAATATTTCATGAATTAAAATAATAATATAAATATTTAGATATTAAATAATAAAATAGTAAATAAATTATTATTTAAAAAAATCAATTTTTTTCACTTTTCTTGTTCAATCTTTTTTTTTATATATATATATACTTTTGCCCTTGCCAGCGGTTTTTTGATTTGTGAGCGATTTAGGATTTTGAATTTGTGGTCAGTTGGGATTTGGAGTAAATGAATAGGTTCGACTGTAAGGGTCAATTGGTGGGCCATGGTAAAAGTAAAAAAAAAAAAGACTGAAAGAGAGAAGTATAAAAGAAATTGTTTTTTTTATAAAAAAATTAATATTATTTTATTATTTAAATATTAATATTATTATTTTAATTCATGAAATTTTTTCGATGAGATAAATTTTGTGAGATACGAAAATTACTCCTGTTGGACAAAAAAAGTTACTAACATAAATGTATATGACTATTTTAATCAAATATTAATGTAGATGACCATAATGTACAAATGACCTAATATAAAGAATTATTTTCATATTTCAGCCTTCAATAATAACATGTAGTATGAAATCACAAAGTAATTTCACTAAGTAATAAAAAGACACTAGAGGGAATTAACGTGCTTAGCGCGTACATTAGTCATACTATAATATAGTGAAAAATACTCTTCATAATTCAGTATAAATACAAATAGTATTTTAACTCTAAAAAAAAGCATACTTATACAAAATAAGCAATAGAATACAATCGAAAAAAAATTAAAAAAAAAGAAGAAAAAAATCGAAACGTTTCACAAGAAATGAGGAAAAATAATGAGTAGGAATCACCTTCAATGAGGTTAGGATGGAAAGGTCATCGAGCATAAATGACAAACAACTAAAATAGAAAAATAAATAGATGTGATAAAACTCTATTTTTGAGAATTATATATATTGACAAATTTAAAATGCAAAACTCTTAGTATTATATCTGAGTTATGGAATAATATTTCTAATTCTCAATAATAAAATCTTAAAAAGAAGAAAAGAAGAAAAGGTACAGGAAAAATTTGAAGCTACAAAAATACTTGAAACCATGGCCAATCAAAATTGAACTAATAGTAAATATTAACTAGTGTATAATCTTTAAACTTAAAATAAAAGAAAAAAATTAATAGAAGGAGATCAAAGGTCAGAAGACTAAAGAAACACAATTTTAACACATAAAGTCTCTTTAAATTAAAAAAAAATTAATGGAAAAAGATCAAAGATCACAACATTTAAGGAATACCAAATGTAACAAAAAGTCTTTTCATTTTCTTGGTTTGAAAAAGAGAGGGGGTGGGGAGGGGAAACCCATATTTAATGCTTAAAAGGACTACTAAACTCAAGTCTACATTCTACAATTATAATATATATGTTAGGGGTGTTCACGGTTTGGCTCAAACCGGCGGAACCGCTCAATCCGGTCATTGGTCTGGATTAACGGGCGGATTATAATTATATTTTTAAACCGGCGGATTGAAAAATTGAAAACCGGTCAATCCGGTCCGGATTACGGCTTGTCACTGTCAAACCGTCTGTCAATCTGGACCGGACCGTATATATATATATATTATAAAATAATAATATATTGGTTTTGTACATATAGCGTTAGATAGAGACTTTTATTGAAAGTGCTAAGTTGTCCCATTGGCATTGTTGTTGTTCCCTCTACATTAGACCTTGCTGAAGGTCGTATGTTTGAATCTCCCATGGACTATTTTTTTTTTCCAAGAAAAGCCTCCAAAAAAAAGGCTGAAAAAGCCCTAAAAGCCTCCAAAAAAGGTCCAACAACAAAAAAAATGTTTAATTTTTTGCCCAAAATAAAAAAGTCCAATCAGAAGCCCAAATTGTCAATCCGCCCAAACCAAACCGTTAAAAACGGATTGGATTGGTCCGGATTATACATCAATCCAGTCCGGTAACGGTTTGAAAAATAAACAGTTTGGTTACGGATTGCTATCAATCCGGACCAATCCGGACCGTGAACACCTCTAATATATGTTGATGAATAACAAAATATGCTCTCAATAAAATACACTAAAAGTGAAATTTTACTATCTAATTGATGAGACGATGAAGCAATAGTTTTTTGAGGTGGTGAATTTTATGTATTTATTATTGCAATAATTGCATAAGGTTTTTTTTTTTCTTTTTTTTTTCTAGTGAAAAGATAAATGCATAAAGTTAACATACATTATCAATTTTTATATCTATAGTACTTAACTAAAGCAGCATATAAGCTGTTGATGTATCAGTACCACAATGAAAAATTTGCCTCCAAATGCTATTTTCAGTACAAAATCATTTTTGACATGTGACACTCTAACTATTCAGAAAAAATTAAATAAATCCCTTAATTATAGCTACATACTAATCCCTTAAAAGTTAAAACAACAACATTAAGTGATAAAATCAAATGTCAAATAATTCCCTTAAATCGTTTATTTATATTAACTCAAACGTCAAATAAATAATATGATTAAGAACGTAAGAATGCCTCCCTTTTAGCAACGGTAACACACATTGATTCAAATCCTTACAAATTAGCCAGAGTCATCGTCATTAATTGAAAAATAATGCTACCAAATTATCCACATATC